GGAAAATTTCCTTAAAAATCAGAAACTGCCAAGAAGAAATTAAAAATATGAACAGATCCTACCAGTAAAGAGACTGAACTAGTAATTTTTAAACTTTCCACACAGAAAACCCAAGGCAAAAGACCTAATACCGGACCAGGGATTTAGCTCAGTGGTTCCACCACCTGCCTTGCAAGTACAGGACCCAAGTTCGATCCCCCAACCAAAAAACAACAACAACAAAAGTAAAAAGAACTAATACCAATCCTTCACAAACTTTTCCCAAAAAGTAGAACATCCAACTAAATCTGAAGTAAATGTTACCCTGATACCAAAACCAAAAACATGACCAAAATAAAACTTACATCAGGATAATCTCCAAACACAGCACAAAAATCTTCAACAAAGTAGTAGCAAACCAAATCCAAAGCAGACTAAAAAAACATCCTGCATAATGACCCAGTAAATTATTCCAGATTATGAGACTGATTTAGCAACAAAAAAAAAATCAATGAAAATAATATATCATATATTGATAAAGAACAAAAGCTCACAACCTCAATACATGATCACTAAAGGAAAAAGTTCCTAAGTAAGTGGAAAGAGCCTAAAATAACCCCAAAAATGCGTTACAGAATAATAAAGTTGGGAAGCAGTACACCATGTTACACAGAGGACTCGAGTCTCACATGTGTATACTGCTATCCATGGGGGGTCCTGGATCCCCTTGGATCTAAGTAAGGCACAAATGGAAATCCTCGTGGCCTTAGAGTAGGTAAAACATTCTTAGGTAAGAAAGACTAAGAGCACAAACAACCAAAGCCAAATATATAAATGAGATAAATTAGACTTCACTAAAATTAATAACTTCTGAATTGCTTCAAAGGGTACATCCAAAAATGTTTTTTAAAAATCTCTAGAACTGGAAAAAATTATTTGCAAATCATGCATTTGACAAGGAACTTGTATCCAGAATATATATATATACAAAGAACTTTTCCAGCAACGATAAAAAGACGTATAGCCTAACCTGGCATGTAAAGGTACAAGATCCCAGTAATGAATGTAGCTGTACTGTCTACCTAGAATGTACCAATAAATTAAAATTTTTTTAAACAAGATGTATAGCCTAATTTAAAATCTGTGCAATGCTGGCAATATATCTCAGCGAGAGGGTGCTTGTCTAGCATGTGCAAGGCCCTAGGATAGATCCCAAAACAGAAAAAAAAAAAAAAAAAAAAACAAAAAATTTTTGAACAGACATTTCACCAAAGAAGATACACACCTGAAGATATATGAAGAAATGCTTGACATCATCTGTCATTAGGAAAACGCAAATCAAAACATAAGATACCACTTTACACCCACAACGAGCATAATCACAATGCAGAAAAACTGGAGTCTTCATACACTGCTGATAGGAATGTAAAACAATGGAGTCATGCACAAATACAATCTGACAGTTCCTCAGAAGTTAAATACAGCGTTAGCAGCAATTTTTTTCTTCAGTACAAGAGAATTGAAAGCAGGTTATTTTCAAAAAATCAAAAGCCTGCACACAAATAACACTGTCTGTAACAGTGTCAACTGTTCAAAATGGCCAAAATGTAAAAACAAAACAAAACTTATCAACTGATAAAATGAGGTGTATTCATCCAATGGAATATTTGGCCACAAAAAAGTAAAATACTGACACATTCTACAACACAGAAAAGCTTTGAAAACATGCTAAGTGAAAAAAACGGGCATAAATGGCCACGTATTATATAATTACAAGTATATGAAATGTCCAGAATTAGTAAATCCACAGAAAGAGAAGGATTCATTCATGACTGGCAGGAGCTAAGGAGTGAGAGAGGATGTGGAGTGACTACTACTAGGTGCAGATTTTTTCCCCATTACTGGAAAATGAACCCAAGGCCTTCAGACAGACCTACAACCCTAACCCTTTTCTTGTCTTACTAAATTGCTAAGTGCCCAAGCTGGACTAGACCTTACAATCCTCCTGCCTCAGCCTCCAAGAGCACTGGGATTACATGTGTGCAGTGCTACACACAAATCAAGATTTCTTTATAGTGTGATGAAATTTTTCAGAGCTAGACAGTAGATGGCAAAGAGACTAACAGAAAAACCCCACTAAACTGAACAGTCTATTCAGGTTGTGAGCTTTTTGTTCTTTAATCTATCAAAATATGATATATTATCTTCATTGATTTTTGGTTGCTAAATCAATCTCAATCTGGAATAACTCACTGGGTCATGACACAGGGTCTCTTTTTTTTAGTCTGCTTTGGATTTGGTTTGCTACTACTCTGTTGAGGCTTTTTGTCCTGTCTGGAGATAACTATAGTAAGTTATATCTAAGTATTAGAAAGTTAAGTTAAAAAAAAGAACAAAGTAATTGAAATTTACTTTTTATATTCAATAATGCTATCTTTTAAAAAAATAATAATGTCGGGACAGGATTTAGCTCAGTGGTGCCGCCTCCTGCCTCGTAAGTGCAAGGTCCCAAGAGGTCCCAAGGTCAATCCCTGGAACCAACAACAATAATAACAATAATAATAATAATAATAATAATAATAATAATAATAATGATAATATAGCTATACCCAAATTTTTCAATGCCTTTCATAACTAGAAATGATAATCCTAAACTCCTAAACTTTCAGCTAAACCAAATACCATCAAATGTGTCTAATTCTGAGCCAGAAGCTCAAGAACAAACTTTCTAATCTTTCTGGGTTAAAAAATAGCAAATTGTTCCTGTCTGCAGATCCAGCTACTATCCACATGCAGCCATAGCCTTTCTAGTCAGTTTCCTTATTATAAAACAAAGGTATCAAAATGGTTTCACGCTCACCCACCTGCTCAGGGATAATCTAAAAGAAAACAGCAGCAAATTGCCATTATATGTTAATAAGTATAATGATACAATTAAAATGTATCAATGTAATTTTAAACAATTTAAAAATGTGCCTGTACATATTTGTCACCAAACATTTATTTAACGTTAATACACACCATTTACATTAACTGTATATAATTATACTTTTTTGGGGGGGTTGCTACTTGGGATCCAACTCAGGGCTGTGCACTTTCAAGGCAGGTGCGGCTGCCAGGAGCTAAATCCCCAGCCCTCATTACACTTCAATGAGAGCATATCTATAAATCAAAATGACCCTCCTGTTTTTTATTATGCAGTTTTAATGTGAAAAATGTTTAAAATTCCCTAAAGTCAGAATAAAGCATTCACATAGCTAAATAAACTGAAGAATATTTATAGAAAATTGGAAGCAAAATGAGATTTTTCAGATTATCTGAAAAATGCTGACCTTAACTCTGAATTGGTTTTTCCAAATAATTCTAGGGCCGGGATCTGGCTCAGTGACACACACCTGCCTTGCAAGTGCAAAGTCCTGAGTTCGATCCCCATACCAAAAATAGCAATAATAATAACAACTCTAAATTGTTCTTTCCTCTGTCATGCTGACACATATAACTTAAATCATGAATAAAACAATATAAATCGGTATCAGTAACTGCACTCCCATTTTGCCTCATCATCTAGTTTATCCTAAGTAAACATACAGAGCGTTTTGTTTTTGTTTTGTGGGGGAGAGGTCTTTTATTTCCTGAGAAAGACATTTCATTGCTTCCCACCTGGCAAGAGAAAGGAGAAGGGAATGAAAATCAAAACATTAACATCAACTATCTTTTCAGCAACACAGATGCACGTCAGGAAAACAGCATATAATTCAAAAGAGTAGAAAAGACATCTGAATATTTTCAGTAATAAAGGGACTTCTTCCTAGAAAAACAAAAGCTAGGAGAGTACTGTAATAACTTTCTATCGAATTAAATAAAATATCAAGACAGGTAGACTGAGTAGTTTCACCCAGCACAATACAGAGGACTGTGACTATAGAGGAAAGTTCCAGTTGGTAGTGTTTTGTTGTTTTTTTTTTTTTTTTTTTTTTTTTTTTTTTTTTTTTTTTTTTTTTCAATTGACTCTAAAAATTTCCAAGATGTATTACCAGGAAAATGTTAATAGAAACAATAACTACAAATAGACTGAAGTTCTTCCAATTCAAGACTGTTGGATCTCTGGAGCCTTAATGGAAAGTGTTAATTTCTGAGGGCCAAGGATTTAGCTCAGTGATTCCACTGCCTGCCTCACAAGCACAAGGTCCCGAGTTCGATGCCCAGTACCAAAGAAAGTGTTAATTTCTGGAACAGATGGAATATAATTATGGCAATTTTCCACAAAAGGTACCCTTATACCACTCTGTGCCAAAGCACTGCTGAGATGCAAAACTGTGACTAAGAAGGCATCACTCAAGTTCTCTTTAGCAATCTTACATGACCACTTCATAGAATGACCCTAATGCCACTTCCTCAATGAAATACCCCTCCCCCTAGGTTTCAGTAACTCTATACTCACCTATCTCCTTCTGTACCTCCTTCCCAAACATTTCCCCCACTGGTGTTTCACTCGGCTTCCTTCTCACTCTACTCCATTGAATCTCAAAAAAAAGTGACAAGCAAGGCAGGCTTCGTGGCACACACTTGTAATCCTAGCACCCAGTGGCTGAGGCAGGAGGATCACAAGTTCAAGACTAGCCTGGACTACACAGTTAGAGCCTGTCTCCAAAAAAAGAAAAAAAGTAACTAAGATAGGCAAGGAACAGAACAACGAAAGTCAAAGATGAACTGCTCTGGACCCACTAAACTGTAGCTTGGGAAAGCATCAGCAATATGTTGTTTTAGAAAAGACTCCAAATGAGATTCTGAGAATGCTGTTTCTATCCCATGGGAAACCACCTGTCTAACAGTACTCCCTGTGTGACCCACAAGCGTCTTTGGTTTCAGCTATGACCCGTGCACTCATGTCACCCTAACTGGTGTGGCCTAGCTCTCCAGTAAACTTCAGGCACATAAGGCATTTCCATTTATGTGGTACATAAGCCCTAAAAAATTCAACATATGTGACAGTGTTTCTGTAAAATAGTAACGGTACCCACCAAACCTGGACATGACAGGAGTTCTGGGTGCTGCCTTCACTCTGTAGAGGCTGCAGGCAGACACACTTTAGGGAGCAGGACCACTGATGGAAGCTTCCAGAACCTTCCACAAGGAGGTGACCAGCTGCCAGCCCATTCCTTCCAGGGTCCACACATTTCTTTAAATTCTGTGCTAAGCTAGATGCGGCAGCACATGCCTGCCATCCCTTTACTCAGGAGGCTGAGGCAGGAGGATTGCTGTGAGTTTAAGACCAGCCTGAACAACATAGCCAGACCTTGTCTCAAAAAAAAAAAAAATTCAAGTAGCACAGTACACAATACTACAAAAGCCAAGTAACCTCAAAAAGTAGCCTGGATAAATTATGGCATCATATACTGGACGACCACAAAACAATGATGACACATTACCTCTACACAAATGCTGAGGGGTCTCACAGTCATAATGCCGAGGGAAAAAGCAAATACAGGAGATAAAATATACAATTCCATTTACAAAAAATTCAAAAATAGGCACAATTATTCTAAAGTGAAGAAGTCAGAGGAGGCTGGGAGACTCCTGCTGAGGCGCTGAACTGTCCATATATATCTGCCCGTAAATAGTTACGTACATATGAAAAAGTCATCTACTTACACAAGTCAGCAATTGCTTAACTCAATCGTTTTTAAAAACCAGCTCAAAGCTAAGCATGGTGATGAACATCTTTAACACCTGCACACTAAGAGGCTGTGACAGGAAGATTACAAATTTGATCCCAGCCTGGGTAACTCAACAAGACCCTGTTTCAAAAATAAAAACATGTTAAGAAGGCTGAGAATACAGCTCAACGTGAAGGCCTTGGGTTCAGTTTCCAGCCCCCCATAAATAAAAGTCATACAGTAACAAAATAAAAATAAGTTAAAAACACAACTCAAAAATGGATTAAAGGGGCCAGGGATCTGGCTCAGTGGTGCCGCTGCCTGCCTTGCAAGCACAAGGACCAGAGTTCAATCCCCCATACCAAAAAAAAAAAAAAAAAAAAAAAAAAAAACCAATGGACTAAAGACCTGCACAGATACCTTACTAAAGAAAATATATAGATGGCTAATGAAAAGAAAAAGCACATGAGAAGATGCCCAACATCATGCATCATTAGGGAATTGCAAATTAAACACAATGAGACAGCACTACACGCCAATTAACATGGCCAAAATCCAAATTACTGATGATATCACATGTTAGCAATGATGTGGAGTCACAGTACTCTCGCTCGCTGCTGGTGGGAATGTAAAATGGTAGTCACAGTGAGATCCAGAAATCATGATAACCCAAATGAGTCGAAAACATGTCCACATAACAACTGCACACAAATTTTTGTAACTGCCAAAACTTGGAAGCAATAAATATTTCTTAAAATATGGTACATCCAGACAATGGAATATCAGAACCAAAAATAAATGCGCTATCAAGCCATGAAAAAATGTGAACCTTAAAAGCACATTATTTAGAAAAAGAAGGCAATCTGAGAAATCTACATAACATATGATTCCAACAATATAACATTCTGGAAAAGCCAAAATTACAGAGACAATAAAAAGATTAGTGGTCGCCAGGGGTTGAGGGCAAAATATGAATAGGTAGAGCAAAGAGGATTTTTCAAAGTATTAAAACTACTCTATATGTTACCATAATGACTTATATCATTATATCCTGTTGGAATTCCACAGACTAGCCAGGCATGTTGGAACACACCTGCAACCCCAGCACTCAAGAGGCTGAAGCAGAAGGATCACACACAGTAACTTCAAGGGCAGGCTGGATACACAGAGTTCATTCAAGGAGAGCCTGAACTACTTAGCAAAACTGCTTCAAAAATCCAAACCAAACAAAACAAACAGAAAATCCATAAAATATGTAACACAAAAAGTAAACTCTAATGCAAACTGCGGAGTGTAATAATGATGGGTGATATACAGGTTCGTCCACTGTAACAGGTGAACTCCTCTGGGGTAGGACACTGACAGCAGAGAAGCTGGGGTGTAGGGCGGTAAGGGGTGGGTATATAGGACCTCTTTATATCCACTGCTCAATTTTGCAGTAATGTAAAACGAGCTACAAAAAATGAAAAAATGTATTGGTGCCTATAAGTAACACAGAATAGTAAGATCTGCTTTAGTATACTGGTACATACATATAACATATACAACATGTACATATAATATACCTGCATTTTATTTTCATTCCAGTTACCTTCCTTAAAAAGTGAAATTTGTTTTTGTTATTTTTGTTATTTTTGTTGTTGTTGTTTTTTTTTTTGGTGCCGGGGATTGAACTCCGGTCCTTGAGCTTGCAAGGCAGGCCACCGAACCTCTGAGCTAAATCCCCGGCCCTGAAATTTGTTTTAAAAAATTCATCGAGCTGGGGATTTAGCTCAGTGGTTCCGGTGCCTGCCTCGCAAACGCAAGGACACAAGTTCGATCCCCAGTACCAAAAAAAAGAACTAAAAATTCATCACAGTATATATTTGAAATATATGAAGATAGAAAAACAAGTCATAGGGCTAGGGATTTAGCTCAGTGGCACCATGCCTGCCTTACAAGTGCAAGGTCCTAAGTTCAATGCCTGGTACCCCAAAAGAAAAAAGAAAAAGGAAGAAAAGAAAACCAAGTAATGCTTCACTTTCTTTAAAAAACTAAGGTAAAAAACTTTATGACACTAGAAGTCTAGATAGTGATTACCCTTGAAAAGGAAGGAAGCCATTACTAGAAAAGAATAGGAACTGGAATTCTTGGGAGATAAGAATGCTATTTTTAATAAAGGTGCATTTACTTAGTGAAAACTTAGCTAAACACTCAGGGTTTATGCACTTTTCACCATATACTTCAAAAAAGGATACAACAGTACACTGACATGCTGAGTCACCAAAGATAAACTCAACCCCCTAAAACCCACCTTCACTCCCCACAAAACCTAGTGCAAAATCACTTCAACTTAAGAATTTCCAGGCTTTCTTCCTCCAAACAAAACTGCCACTGACATATGGCACTAGTAGCTGCTTTTACAATTTCACTCTGGATCTAGGAACAAATGGATTCACAACCTGTGAAAATCTAAACCGATCTGAGTGGATTGACCTCTACACCCATTATGTGACCGACAGCACTCTCCACCCTGCAGCCCGTGTGAGAAACCACACTGCCTCCCACACCACCTCCGCCATACAGTTATTCTGCCCTGCTCTTACACTTCAGGCCTCCTTTCCAGTGCCTACTTCAGAGGGCTGCAGCCTACATTCCATTCTCAGATCCTCTACTGCAGCATTCATTCTCTCAGGGTTGCTTTAGGTAGGTTCCACAGACACAGTGCATTTCAATCTATTTTCACTGTTAATCATAGGTGTTTTATTTTATGCATTATTCTGAAACGGGGTCCAAAAACCTCACCACATTGCTGAAGGGATTCATGTCCCTAAAAAGGATTAAATGCCCTAAGTAAACTCTACTTTCATTCTTGCACCTTCATTTCATCCTCCATATCGTTGCCCAGTAAAATATCTGTCCTCCATGCTGAAAATTGAATGGTTCCCAACCACTCCTTGATCCTTAAATTCAAGAGCACAGCAGTCAAGTAAGTGCCTTCATGACTGCTGCTCTCATCTCTCTGGCTTCATCCCACCACACACTGCAGCACAGACTGGCCGCATGTTTGTAACTGTCAGCAGGCTTTCTCGAAAACTCCTCTGTGCCTTTGCACAAGCTATTCCCCCTGCCTGGAGAACCCGTCTATCTTCATACGGTTAATTCCTGCTCATCTTTCACATCCAGCTCAAGCACCATCTCCTAGAGAAGCCTCCAGGCTGACCTCCAGCTCTAGGCCAAGTAAGAGGTCCTGGCAGAGTCCTCACAATACTTTTCAATGATCCCACAGCACTTTCCTTGGGGTTTGCCAGTTTAATGATCTGCCTCCCTCTCTAGATGATGTGTGAAGTCAAAGCCAAGACAGCTCCTGCCTCCCACACCTCAAGTCTCAGTACAAGGCCTCAATACAGTACTTAACATATCACTGCTGAACAAGCAACTGGCTCTGGAAAATGGCCAGACCAAAAAAGGGCTGGTCCAAAATCTTACTAACTAGGGAGCACAGTCTGGAGAGCATTAAAATACAAACTGCCCAATGGAGGCAAGAATGTTCTGCATCTATTAATCTGCCACCAATCCCTTTCAAGGTTGATGAGACCTTAATAAATGTAATTATCACAGCCAGGCCCTGTGGCAGGGATTGACAGGCATTAGAGCTCAGTAAACCTTAAGCAGCTCTAAGTTTTTTTTTTTTTTTTTTTTTTTTTTTTTTTTTTGGTGGTACCAGGGATCGAACTCAGGACCTTCCTTGAGCTTGCGAGGCAGGCACAGAGCCACTGACATAATAAATCCCAGCCCTAAGATATTCTCTTTTAAAGATAAGGAGGCAGAGGGCTGGGGATTTACCTCAGTGGCTCTGCAAACTGCCTCGCAAGCACAAGGTCCTGAGTTCGATCCCAGTACTAGGAAAAAAAAGATAAAGAGGAAGAGAGGTAAACTGAGGTCTTTGATTCCAAAACCCATGCCTAGCCACCAAGCTCAGCTGGTTTTCAAGAGGTAAGAAATCAGCATGCTCTTCATCACTGGAGAAGTGTGGGTTTGATGAGAAGGCCTCTTCATTACCCTCTTAGTAAATAAGAAAAACCTTTTTCCCCAGGAAGCACTACTACTTTAAGACTCAATTTAACATAAAATGTCTTATCAAGAAGGCCTAGGCAAGTTGTTTTTCCAAGAAAACAACTGCAAGAATAAAGCATAAGATGGGCAAGATTGCTGAACTCCCCACAGGCTTCAAGGAGAGAGAGGGAAGGAGAAAAAATCAATCCCAAGAAAGGCAATTAGTTGTGGCAGTATCAATAAAAGAAAAGAAGGTAGGTTGAGTCTCCATGGCCTGCTATGAAGACACACCATAAAGCACTGTCCTTTAGCTGGCTGAGCAGATACCTCTGGGCTAACAGATGAAACACCAATGTTACTGAAAGTTACACCACAGCTCTCACCCTGCGGTCTTCAGCACTTCCCTGTAAGGCCCCAGGGACTCAGACCTCACACTTCCAAAAGACAGAATGTCTCTTTAACCTGCCCATCATCTATCCACGCTCATTTTGAACCATTACACACCTGGCCGCCTCTCAAGTTTTGTCTAA